AAGATAGAGCCACCCTAAATTATAGGCCATATTTTAGTCCTAATAAATTTAAATATATCATAGCTTATCAATTCGTGATTGGTATGAGTAAATTTGAGGGGTTTTAATATTGGGTTAAACACTAAAAAATAGCTAAGAAAATTTAGTTCAAGTCAATTTTTTTGCTAATAATTCTTGATTTAAGCCTAATCTTTGGAGAATCATCTAGTTCATGTCTAATCCATAAGTTAGTATACCCACCTATTTATTTAATTTTTAATTAGTCAAAATATATATATTTTTAAATTATAACAAAAATAAGAATTATGTACATATTTGTTTAGTATATTTATTAACAATTTTAAAATTAATTAAGAAATTATGTAGTTATTCTTAAAAGAATAAATTACATTAGTAATCCTTATATTTTAACTATTGTGTTATTTTTGTCCTTGCAATTTTAATTTGCTCGATTTTGATCTTGAATTTATAATTTTGTCTTAATTTGGTCCAATTGTTATAATTGCTAGTGTTTTTTTAATTAAAAATACACAAATGAGTAGCATCTGTTATAATTTTATAAATAAAATTATAAATTTATTCAACTCAGTATGTTAATGTCAACTAACTCAATAACTATTTTATTTTAAAAACCTTAACCGACATCATCAATTAGACCAAATTGATACAAAATCTTAAATTAATGGTCAAAATCAAGCTAATAAAAATTATAAAGATCAAATTGATACAAGAGACAAAATGCGGGGACTATCGATATAATTTACCCTTCTTAAAAGATATATTTATGTTTGAAAAACTATTTAAAACCAGATTAGGCTAAAATTTGAATAAAAAATTGATGACTTATTAAAATTATTTAATAATTATAAATTTAAATTTGATCAATTTTTCATTTAATTTTTTTCGTAATAGAATTAGGATGTTTAATAATTATAATTTATAGTTCCAATTTTTCTTTGTATTTTTTTTAAAAATATTTTAAAATTATAATTAGAATTAGGCTATAATTTCTTTTGGAACTTTCCATTTCAATCTCAAATTAGTTATAACTTGAATTATATATAATTTATTTTTCTCATCTACAAAAACTAACAATGAACATAAATTATTTTTTAAACATTGTAAAAAATAAATAAAGAAATATATTATCAATAATAATAATAATAACAAAATATATTTTTATTTGTCATGTGACATCTCACCACTACATTGATAATAGACATTAATAATAAAACTCATTACAATAATAAATTAATAATATATCAGATGATAAATGACATGTGATCACAATAATTTTTTTATAGTTATACAAAAGTACCCAAAATGATATATAAAAAAAATAATATATGATCCATATTAAATTTTTATATAGTAAAACCCACACTTAATTTCAACCACACATTAGCTTTCTAAATCAATTTATCACCCAAACTATCTATTATTCTTTTAAGTAATATTCACATTTTCAAAACTCACTCAAACAATACTCTGACCGAGCTCATCATCATCGTTGTTGCTGCCATGGTCACTACCTCCACTAACCACTATGCAACTCCGATATAGTTTTTTATCTTTGCAAATTTAAAAAGACATAAAAGGTACCGTTAGAGTTTTAAAGAATTAAAAATGAAAAATGAAAAAAATGTGTGGTTTTAGTTTTTCTTATTCCATATATGGGTGATATTTTTTTTTTTAAATTCATAAATTATGGAATAGTGTTCATTATTTAAAATTTTATTTATTGATAGGCAAGTCAATTAAATGTTTTTAATTTTTTACAAATAAAAAATTTTGAAAATTTTGTTTAAGAAATTAAAACAAAATTGCCAAATCGTAAAGAATAATATAAAACGTCATATTCTATTAAAAAAACTCATAACTGTTTTATCAATTTACATATATCAAAAATAATAATAACAACAATATAAAAAATACACAAACATCCACCAAAAAAATAAAAATAAAACTTCAAATTAACTCCCAAAACAAAGATAGTTAAACATATATATATATATATATATTATCAATTTAGTTGGAAAAAAAAGTCATATAGAGAAAAAAAATAATAATCACACGAAAATAGAAATTTACAAAAAAAATAGAAAATAAAATAACAATACAAACAAACAAACTTGAAAGAAGTTTGGACTATTAACAAAGAGAGAGACTAATCTTTGCATCATTACATTTGAAGAGGAGTTGGCCGGGCTGAAAAAAAGATCAAATATTGACTATTCTAAAGAGATAATTGTATTGAATTTTTAATTTGATTAAGTTATTGAAATTTTAAGATTTATATTATTTTCGAAAAGAATGAGGGTGACTTATTATATTATTTTGAATTTTGAAATTTAAAATCATAGATAATTAGTGCCTTTATTGTTTCTTTATTTGAATTGTTTTGATCAACATTATTTTTGAAAAGGGTCACCTATTTTATTGTTTTGAATTTTAAAACTCAAAATCATAGATAATTAGAGTTTTTTTTTTTTATTTCTTTAAAAATTAACAAATTAACAAAATTAGTTTGGGAGTTTGGAGCTCTCATAATTAATGTTTTTAAAAAATCCCTTTTCCTTATATATATATATATATATAGATAAAGGGCATATAATACACATCCTTTAAAGAATATGTATCATAGCCTATCCCTTTTGGGGTAAATTACACCCTTGAGGTTTCTGTTTAATACAGATCCCCCTGCACATTTGAAAAATATACTTACCCCCTATTAGATTAAAATGACATATTTGCCCATTAACCTTTATACATGTAGAATAATAAAATAATAAAGATATTTTGTTTATTTCATTTCAAAATAAATAACAATTATCTTCTTTGGTTTAACTTACATAAAAAAAAATTTATTTTTTATTTTTCGTGTTTTTGTTATTTTTACTGATTTTTTTAATATTTTAAGTAATTTTTTTTTATTTTTTAAATACACCTAATCTAGATATACTTATTAAGTATAATATTTTGTGATTTTTTTTTAAATTCACCAAATATTAAAAAAAATACAAAAATTTAGTAATACTGTAATAGATGTGAATGGCGGTGTTCGGAAATATTGTAGTAAATGTGGGTGAATTGACGAGAAAGAAAAATGATTGTGGAAATAAAAATAAAAAATTCTATTCATATATCAAAATTTATACAAAAAATATCATAAAAATAAATGTAAATGACTTTGTTTGATAATACTATAATAAATATAGGTGAATAAACGAAAAAGAAAAATGATAGTGGAAATAAAAATAAAAAATTCTATTCATATATCACAATTTATATAAAAAAATATCATAAAAATATTGTAATAGTGATGTTGTAAATATAAACCATGTTTATAGGTGTTTTGTTTTATATTTGTATATCATCACTCAATATGTTTAGATAAAATTTAGTAAAATATAGCATGATGATAGGAAAAAGAAATAGTACGAAAAAGGACAAAATGATCATTTAAAATTTTTTAAGGCATGGCATCAATAATCTAAAGTATAATTTAAAATTAGATTACAAATTTCAAAGAAAAAAATATAATTTTTCAAACGTAAAAAAAGAATCTGTATTAAAAAAAAAAAAATCAAAAAATGTGATTGTATTTTATCCTTCTTTTTCATAGACACCATAAACTTAATTTTTCAGTTAAAATAGAGAATCGTTCGCGAGAAAACAAACTCCAATAACCTCCTTGTGTAACTGCTTAGGTGTCGTTTGGGAAGTAAGTTGATTTTTTGATTTTTTTGGCTATTTTAGTCTGCGCTAAAAAGTTTAGTTTGGAAAAAGCTTTTTGGCTTTTTAGTTTTTTTTACTTTTTTTGTGAGAGAAGAGTGTAATGATTATGAATTGAATGTGATGTTTTGTTTGTTGTGACTAAAATAGCCTATTTTATCTTTTATGGCTAAAATAGCAAAAAAAACTTCCAACCCACCTTCCCAAACGGTGCTTTAAATTAATTTATCAATTGTTGTTGTGACTCTCCACATCTGTGGAGTCGCTATTCATCTCCTAAAAAAATAAAATTAGTTGGTTTCTCTAACCTTTTTCTCCTCTTTTGTATCATTGTCACATTAATTTTTAAAATATTAATTTGAATTGAAGAGAAATAATATAATAATATTTAAATAAAATTGAAGAAAAAAATAGATGTGTTATAGGAGGCATTTTATCCGTACAAAAAAGTGAATAATAATATAAAAACATATATAAATAAAGATGTTTTCTTACATTCACGTTGAGTTACAAAATATAATAATTATAAGATAATTAATTTATTAAAGTAAGTTATTTTGAGTCGTGCTTGACAATATTTAATGTCATTAAATACATTCATGATAGAATTGATATTAAAATCATAAATAATGTATTTCTTAATGAATGTGATTGCTAAATGTTTAATCAACACTAATTTTAAAAAATTAATTCATTTTGTTATATTTTGTTCAGATTTTTTATTCTATTCTTCAGCCCTCAAGTATCATAGATATGGAGTAGCAAACATTTCATTTTTTCATAAACTTAAAAGGTAATTTTAAAACAAAAATTAAAATATTAGTATACTAAATGAGTTGTTTGAAATCGTGAGAAGGACGATTGCCCCCTTTAGCCCTCTAGGTCTATCCTTAATGGCTAATGTCATTTAATTTAAAAAATATAGAAGCTATATTTTAATTGAAAACTCCAACAATGCTCATTATAATATGTTCAACGGAGTGTGAAATTTTAAAGATTATCGTAGATGAGGATGGAGAATAGAGATAGGTTATTGAAGATGCTTCCTTTTAGCCATATTTCGGTATGATAAATTCTACTATACCATAAGCATTTTCACTATCAGCAGTTGAATCTTCATAAAAAAAAATATATATATAAAATAAAAAAATGAAAGTAAGCAAGTAATTGATCATAACCATATTAGATCTATCAGCCGTTGAATCTTTACAAAAAATGAAACTAAGTAATTGATCATAACGATATTAGATCGTAACCAATATCGCTTCGAGCATTATTACCAATGACTACTTTGATTGTAACCAACAATACCACTTTATAACATGACCAAATGCAACAATGAAGAACCAAAACTAATTTGACATTTTTTTTTATTGAAGATCTGGGTGTCCAAGTCAGTTTGCGCGTATTTCAATTAGTTTGACGATTTTACCAGCCCACCACCACAATAACCTTACAGAAAATGGCTAGGCAAACCTCCAGTGAGATCCTGAGATGACTCAAACTCAAAACCTCAAGTCTTTACTGTTTAGGACTTCGCTAACCTCAGTTAAATTTCATCTCTGAAGCTTCTAATGACCACAACTGACAGACCAATCTTGTACTTTTCCAGGGCAGTCTGAGCTCCACAGAGTTGGTTTCAACATGAATTCCCTTCTGAGACCTCAAATCTCAAATCACATGGATTAAAAAAATGCCTCAAATATCAGGGTGAAAGCTCTTTAACAAAAAAAAAAAAAAAAAAAAACCTAACTCCGATGTATCAGAATGTTTCAAATTCTGCTGCAACTGCTTCAAATAATATGATAAATATACCTAACAGTGCTTTGAATCCATTGAAGTGCTTGATAAATAACCTAACATAGTTTTGAATCCACTGTTAGAAAAATTACTAGTCGAAGCCCTTTGCCTGCAGCAAAAATAAAACCTTAGGGCATATGGAGGAGCAATGTCACTCAAAAAGGAATAGAAAGAGAAGGGAAAAGCTATAGACACAACCAAGTCTGATTGGCTTCTTTCTTAAAACCAGTGGTGAAGAAGGCATTTGACTGACAGCAAAAGATAATTATCACAATGAATTTGCAGAATGCTTTGACACTGCCCAAGAGATCAATACAATTCAATCTTAGCAAAAGGAGATCATTGCAAATGTATTGCCAAAATACAGAGTTGCCTACTTCACAAAACAGCTGCACAACTGCTTCGAATAATATGATACATATACCTAACAGTGCTTTGAATCCATTGAAGTGCTTGATAAATAACCTAACATAGTTTTGAATCCACTGTTAGAAAAATAACTACTAGTCGAAGCCCTTTGCCTGCAGCAAAAATAAAACCTTAGGGCATATGGAGGAGCAATGTCACTCAAAAAGGAATAGAAAGAGAGGGGAAAAGCTATAGACACAACCAAGTCTGATTGGCTTCTTTCTTAAAACCAGTAGTGAAAAAGTCATTTGACTGACAGCAAAAGATAATTATCACAATGAATTTGCAGAATGCTTTGACACTGCCCAAGAGATCAATACAATTCAATCTTAACAAAAGGAGATCATTGCAAATGTATTGCCAAAATACAGAGTTGCCTACTTCACACACATAGGTGGAGGGAATGTCAAAGACAAAATCACAGAGATTGCAGAGATTGTGAGCATCACAAGCTACATAAAGAGGATCAAATTGATACCATGAATTTATTATTTCCCTTTGTAGAGATCAAAGAAAATAACTAGAGGAAATAAGAATAGACAGGTCACAGGACAGAAAAAATAAATAATTAATTAAAAAAAATGTGAGGGTAGGGAAAAGATTAGAACTCCTAAGGGTGGAACTTGGTGCAATGGTAAGGTTGCTCCATTGTGATGTGGCCATTATGAACACAAAAACAGTCTATCCGCGTGTCGAGAGGCTTGTGCACTAGGTTTCCAAAAAGATCAGAATTCAAATTCTAGACTTTGTATACATAATAAGAAATCTAGTGTCACCTGATGAGTAGAATTGGAGCCTAGAATATTAGGGAAAGGAATATTACTTTTAGGAATTTCTTCACAAAACCGCCAAACAATAACATAGAGAGGATTTGGGTTGCTTGGGATCCTCTAGGCTCTGGTCCTTGGAAACCTATAAAAACAAAACAAATCAGATTCTCACTTGTAGATATCAACTGTACATAGGCACAATATAGATTCTGATAAGGCGTATATAGGAAAATCTTATCAGCCTCAATAATCACAATGCAAAATCAAACATGGGTTACCATGAGGAGATTCAACATTGTCATCACTGCTAGGAGGCGTTGGTATTGACTACAAGGCTGTAAATGAGTTCAATGAGTGCTTACATTTACATGAGCTTAATATGGAAGATCAGAAAATTCTGGTTCTCTAGGACCAATAGAGAGTAGATTTGGGGGATATCAGTACTTACTATAATCATCATAGACTAGTATCTGGACCGAGAATGAGGTAGCAGAATCGAACTCTTCACCTTTTTGAAGGGTAACAGCGTAACAGTGTTGCAACCTGTTACACTGACCATTTTAATCCTGCATGACTTAAGACGACCAAAAAAAATTACTAGGAAAAGCTGATCACAAAAATATGACATTCACAATACTATAAGGTGCTCCCAAGCAAGATGAATTTACAACAAACTTTGTTCTGCCAATTTAGAGTTAATTACAAGATACAAATACCATAAAAAGAGGAAAAGGGGGGGATGCGAATTGTGTAAAAACCATACAGGACATTTGATGAAACAACTTAACTGGGGAAGTTCAATACATCCACGACAAGTCTTGCCTGAAATTTACTGATTTTGCAACTCCTTGAACACCCCGTTCAGATATTTGTGGACAATCATCCACAGCCAACAATTCCAATTTATATGAGCCTACAAGCGGCTTTAGCCCATCATCAGTGACTCCCAAACACTTGTTAAGCCGCAATACACACAACTGAGGAAATTGGCTCACAAGCTGCAATCCCTCATCACTAATCTCTTGGCATCTCACGAGCTCTAGGGTTTGGAGATACTGAGCTGAACAAAGTGCTTCCATACCCACATCATTAAAAGAATACACATGATCAAGAGCAAGTTCACGAATTGGGCACATTTTTATTAAAGTTAAGATTCCGTTTAAAGTAAATGACGAAAACGAAGGAAACTCTCCATCAGAAAAAGATAACCTGACTGATTCGAGTCGTGAGCAGTTTTGGGCCAATGCTTCTAAACTCTCATCCGTCAATCTCAATGGATTGTTTACCAAAAGAGGAAGTGAGAAATCTGACGGGACTCGAAGAGAAATAGATCGAAGGTTGCTTGAATTTCGAGCCAATCCTATAATGTCAGAGTCTCTCACCCCAACACACATGTCCAAGTGAATCTTTTCCAAGTTCTTGCACTTTCCCAACACACAAGCAAGGCCTCTCCCCGGACTGATGATGCAATTCACCAAGCTAAGCTCTTGCATACTTTCACATGGGACCCACTGCTTTTGCCAACGATCCACAGCTAACCGATCATAAACCTTCATGTAACGGTAATTAGCATCCACCTCGAACTGTAACTGTTTTAGTTTGCGCCAACTAGGTCCGAGCTTAATTAAGTCACCTTCCCCAATTGCCCTACAATTCTTAATTGAAAGATCTTCTAGTATTTCAAGCTTGCCTAGGTATTCTAACCACTCGACACTGCTAACATTTAGACATCGAATGAGGTGTAGAATTCGGAGGTTTTTGCAGCCCACGACGAGCGATAATATGCCACAACCACTGATTCTTGGGTTGAAATTCAACTTCAAGGCCGAAAGTTTGGAGCAAGAAGCGAGGTAGCTAAGACCCACATCAGTGATGAAAGTACAATAACTTAAAGTGAGATCAGTCAAATAAGGGCAGTTGTTTGAGAGAATGAGAAGTCCATGGTCGTCCAATTGTTTTCCTAATTTGGACATCCAACCTGAATAAATTATTTCTACTCTTGTCAAATTCGGAAACCTGTTGCAGAGAGAAGTCAAAGCTTCATTTGCGGGGTCTAGTCCACAACCAACCAGAAGAGATTTTCTCTGTTCATTATCCAAATTATAGAGTCGTTTACATGCCAAAGATGCCGAGTTTCTATCTATGGTTTTCTTAATCCTACCAAAAATCTCCCAAACTAGCTGATCCGGCAAATCATCCATAACACTGAGTTTCCTTTTTGTTAGGTGAAAAAGATTGTTAACAACCTGACACTGTTGCAAAAATCAGTAATTGCTCACAATAAAACAGCATAAAAAACATAAAAAAAACACAAAGTGAAAGTACCCAATTCTAAAAGATTTGAAAGATATCTGAAAAACACTTATGTTTTACTATTGTGAAAAAAGAAATGGCTAATTGGGCTATCCCCACGATGAATATCTGAATTTCCCATAATTAAAACACGATAAAAATAGCAAATATCCAATTCTGAAGATTTGAAAGCAGAAATCACTAACATGTTTCAATGTTTCGAAAAGTTGAAAACAAAAATGGATGAGGTTCTCCTCCAAGACAGGCAAGAAGATCAATTTTTTTATAACTTTAATAAGAAGTGAGGTTATCTTCCATGCTTCTAATATGCCAAACTATCTTATAAACAAAAAGAACTAAACTAGAAGAAGTTTTCATGAAACCGATTGACATCAAACCGATCCACAGTATGAATAATAACTCATTGAGAAGCCAGAACTGAAAGCAAGAATGTTAAGTTTGCACCTTATTTATTCACTTTTTTCCCCATTCAAAGTCCATAAATAAAACTCATGAGAAAGAAAAACCACATGAAACACTAGAAGGAGATAATTCATATGAAAACAAGAGATCCCAAACATTATGTTTGGTGACCTAGGAAAGAGAAGAAAAGAAATGATTATGCAAGTTAGGAGAGACAATAAAAGAAGAGAAAAGATTGTGGATTAACTTCCTCTTGTTTGGATAAATAGGATTTCTCTCCAATTCTTATCATTTATCTCCTCTTTGCTTATCCAAATGAGTGGTATGGATCAACAAAAACGCATTTCTTTTCTTGTCTTCCCAAATCACCCAATCCAAACGGGCTGAAAAACACATGCTACAGAAGAGAAAACAAAGACCCATTTCCCAATTATCCAAACTACGGAATTTGTTCGTTAGAAAATAAAGAAGAAGAAGAAGAAGAAGATACAATAACAACAACCCATATAAAGATATCCCTCGATAACCTCAGATTGATCAGTTTTTCAATTGCTAAACTAAACCCACCGACAGAATCTGATAAAGACCCAGAGATGGTTAATTCAATTCAAAGAAAATCTGATTTTGAAATATCATAAGAGCTTCAGCAAATACATGATTCAAATCCTTAAGCTCTTCCCTAGAACAGGAAAAGAAAAATTCATCTCAAAACAAAGAATAAAAAGCCAAGATCTTAACTTTTAAATTGAGAAGAATACTCATGAGTACATATGATACCAGAATTGAAAGAAGAGGCACGAACATGTACCTTTTTGATGTGGGTAAGATCCTAAAGAGTGATGATGATGATGATCCCAAAGATAGCTTGTTATGAAACAGAAGGAAGAGAAAAGAAAACAGAAAATATCATCAAAGGATGGGATTAAAATGAGACATTTTTAGGAGCAAGTTTGTAGGCATTTATATGTATTTTGAGAAAAGGTAAAAAAATACTGTGGTTTTTCATTTTATTTGGATAAAGTAAATAAGAGGAAAGAAAGAATAATGTTATATTTTATTTTATTAAAATAATTTTTTATATTAATAAATTATATTTTTTTATAAAGGTAATTTTGGCATTTAAGGAAATTTTTATTAAACACAATTCTTTTCTCATCACTTTTGATGAGAAATAAAATATAAATTTACCAAGAATCTCATAATTTTTCACTTAGATCTTGTTTGGCATGTGAATGTTTTAGTTAAAAAGTTATTAAAAAAATTAAAAAGTCTATAACCTATACCAAAAAATTAAAGATTTTCTTTTCTCTTTACTTTTTGCGCATCTTTTCGTAAAAAATCAAAAAATTATTTCAAACATACTAATTTTTTTAATTTCATGTTTTAGTTAAAAAGTCAAAAAATTACTATAATAACACTTTCCTAAAAGCCTTACTTAAATCATCTAAATAATTGAAGAGATTTTTTATTCACGCTATTTTATTTTATTTTTATTTTTGTTTTTCTCACTAAACGGAGTGTAAGAGAAATAGCAATGCTTTGGATTCAAAGCCAGTGATAGACAAAATGTTGGATGTCATCGAAGTGGTAACTTTGTTTGTAAGATGTGGCCTTCTGAATACTTTGGGTCACATTATTTAGTTTGAGGAATTATTTTTAATGCTATTAATAAAAGGAAGGATGGTGGATAGTTTAGGTGAGATGGAGATGGATCCAGGGCCATTTCTCAAAATAAGTTAAACTATTAATTTATTTTCCAAACAAGTCTAGTTTGACCGAAATTCCTAAAATGAGCTGAAACGTTATTTCAAAATAAACTTTCACCATATTTTTGGCCCAAGCGTGGAAAATGAATAAAATCATAAAAGCGTGGTTACAAATCATACTTTTAATTAAAAAACACGCTTTTAAATAAATATGTTTGGTAAAGAAAGCGTGGTTAAAAACTACGCTTTTAAAGAAAACTATTTTGTAAAAAAAACGTGGTTAAAAATCACATTTTTAAAGAAAATTTTGTTATAAAAGAAAGCCTAATTAGTAACTACACTTTTAAACTGAAACATTATATGGAATCTGTGTAATTAATCATACATGGCGACCATGCTAATGACGGCTCTTCTCTGTTTTAACCGGTGGAAGAGAACCAATAAAATGTGGAAGGTTGAGTGATTGAGGAACACTGTTTCATTACCTTACTAATATGGAGAGAGAATCTCCAGTGCTTTTCGAAGATCAAATAAAGATTGCGTGTCGGTTTCTTTATGTTAAGAAAGAACTGCAATGACTTGAATTATTTACCCTTAATGGTATTCCAAGGTGGGATCATGGTCTTTGGTGCTTCCACTATTATAGGAATTACTTGGATTAGACCGGAAAGAAGAGAGAGAGAGAGAACCAGCCAGGTTAGGGAGAGAACGCCAGCTTCCATGGCTGTTCTTCTTGATGTAGTCGATTAAGATCTCGTCTTCATGTGCAAGTGAGTGTTCACCTGAAGAAGGTTGAGGAGGACATAGCGCGTGGTTACCAAGTAGTTTAAAAGCGTGATTACGAATTACGCTTTCTTTAAAATTAAATTTTTTTTAGAAGCGTGATTTCTAACTACGCTTTCTTTACGAAACAGATTTATTTAAAAGCGTGATTTTTAACCAAGCGTAATTTGTAATCACGCTTTTATGATTTTATTCACTTTCCGCGCCTGAGCCAGAAATATGGTGAAAACGTGTTTTGGAATAATGCTTAAGCTTATTTTAGAAATTTCGGCCATATTAGACTTAATTTGGAAAATAATTTAGTAGTTTGGCTTATTTTGGGAAATGGCCCTAGATCTGAACTCCATGACAATGGCCGATCTTCTTTAATTAGATTCTGCCAAACAAACCCTTGCGAGAGCAAGTTGTGCTTAAAAAGACCATACCTTTTGATGATAATGGAGATTAAAGTTAATTTTGGCAGATATGGTCTTGGGATTAAATTATGAGAAAAATTCAAATCAGTGCATATTTAATATAAAAAAAAATTACAAATAAACTGTAATATATATATATATATATATTAATAATTAAAGTTATAAGACTTTTATGTATCAGTAATAATTTTGTGGTAGTACCATTGGGATCCAATATTTGACAAAGAAAATTGAGATCCAGATTGGAGATGGTATCCGCTATATGGATGCCAAGAGGGGATAAGATAACAATTATTAAGAGAGATTCAAACTAATTAGTTAGATTATAAAATTAAAAAAAATTAATTAACCACTCTCAATCCCAAGTCAATCCAACCCAAACACAAAATAAAAGAAAATGTTTGAGGCCTTCAAAAAAAATTTCACAATTCTACATAAAATTGCTTGTCACATTGTAATTTGGTCTTATGATAGTCACCAAATTCACATCTTTCATCAAAAACAATTAAAAAGAGAGAAAATTGCTGAAAAATTCATTCTAGAAATTGTCTAAGACATTAGATTCAGTGGATATTTTTTATTGGTGAAAAATTCACCATTTGTGAAATAATTTAGTAAAAAGTCCTTTTGTTTGTTTTAAATGACCATTTATTTTTAATTTTATCCCTTAATTTATCTGTTGACTTTTTTTTACTAGCTGTTCAAATTTATTTCCTATTTGTTCAAATTATTCTCTATGTGTTTAAATTTATATCTATCTGTTCAAATTTTTTTGACTATCTATTCAATTTTTTCCTTTTATCTGTTCAAATATCTATCTGAATTTTATTATCGATTTAATTTTTTTTATCTATTGAAATACCAAGCCAAACAAAATTCTATCTGTTGAAATACATAATCAAACCAACGCCTATCTGTTCAAATTTTGAATAGATCTATCCTATTATCTATTCAAATCCCATTATATGTTCAAATTTTGAAATCCAACAATAACATATCTGTTTAAATGTTATTTCAGATCTATTTTATCATCAACAATAATATCAAGAGATCAACAAAAAAATAAAAATAAATAAATAATGAGAAACAGAGTTCATCAATAACTACTAATGCTCATCCTTGAACATCACAAACCCGAACTCGCTAGATCTACCAGTTTCACGATCATTAATGATCTAAAAAACCAAATCAAATCACAAATCGATCAAATTTCATCAGATCTACAACATAGAAACAATTCACATACATCTACAAAGAAAATAAAAATTGAAAATGATGAAATATGTGGAATGATGAAATTGGTGGTCACTACCAGACTTTCACATCTCAAGCCCTCTTTCATTTCATCCAAAGATCACATACAAACCTTGAGAGAGAGAGAGAGAGTTAATACGAAATCAGTTGTTGAATCTAAATGACTAAACTTAAGATTGTGAAAGCAATTGAACAATGCATCGATGGAGTATGCAAATCTAGGGAGAGAAATCGACAGATTTAGGAGTTGAAGAGAGGGAAAGAAAGTTTAGGGTTTGAGAGATCATACTTGTAAAGATGCAGCGGTAGATTGAGAGATGCAACGGCAGTGGTTTGAGCAGAGAGGTCTGTGTATATGTATCTTGATCCTAGAGCTAAACTATATGTGTGTGTTTGTATGTTGCTTGAATTTTGAAGGTCTGATCTGGTCATGATGGCGGTAGATATATAGCCCGCGAAGCACAAGTGCGTTGGAAGAGGAAGTCGATGTCGAAATAAACAGATGAAAAGAATGAGAGAGAAAAAGAGAGAGAGAGGTAGTCAGTTAATGAAATAGTGGTGGTGGTGGTCAGTTAGCGAAACAACGATGGTAATGGTCAGTTGGCGGCGGTGGTGGTGGTGAGAAAAAGAGAGAGAGAGAGAGGTATGAGGGTTTAGGAGATCAAACCCTAGTTACAAAATATATATACACAAGGTATTTTGGGCATTTCATCTGAGTATGTCATTATGGACATACTATTTCTGCGCGTGAACTATTAAACAAAAAGAATTCAAATTTAAATTTTTAGCCTAAGCGTCCTTATAAAAATTAAATATAAAATTTATTAAATTTTAAAGTCTTTTTATTTATTTATTAAATTCGTAAATAGCTTCGAACAACTTGTTATATGTCTTATTAAAAATTCTCAAACATAAGACGTTTTCGCACATGTTCATCTCTTTAATATTTGCTATAAATCTCTCCAAACAAATTAATCATTTTTTTTACAACGTCAGTAATTTGTACAAAATTTTGCTAACAATTTCCTTTTAATTTCTTTGGAATTTCTATTCAGGAATTCGGGCAAAAAATCCAATTTTTGTGTTTTTGTTTTTGTTTTTGTTTTTTTTTTCCCCCCAAAAGTCCAGGCACCAATTTATCATGTTCATAAGGATAAGTTATTACAAAATAACCAAAATATCCCTCCACCACCTACCCTTCTCACACAGTTTTATTTCTCAAGCCCTTTTATTTCTCAAACCCATCTCTCTCTCTCTCTCTCTCTCTCTCTCTCTCTCTCTCTCTCCAGTTAATGAAATAGTGGTGGTGGTGGTCAGTTAGCGAAACAACGATGGTAATGGTCAGTTGGCGGCGGTGGTGGTGGTGAGAAAAAGAGAGAGAGAGAGAGGTATGAGGGTTTAGGAGATCAAACCCTAGTTACAAAATATATATACACAAGGTATTTTGGGCATTTCATCTGACTATGTCATTATGGACATACTATTTCCGTGCGTGAACTATTAGACAAAAAGAATTCAAATTTAAATTTTTAGCCTAAGCGTCCTTATAAAAATTAAATATAAAATTTATTAAATTTTAAAGTCTTTTTATTTATTTATTAAATTCGTAAATAGCTTTGAACAACTTGTTATATGTCTTATTAAAAACTCTCAAACATAAGACGTTTTTGCACATGTTCATCTCTTTAATATTTGCTATAAATCTCTCCAAACAAATTAATCATTTTTTTTACAACGTCAGTAATTTGTACAAAATTTTGCTAACAATTTCCTTTTAATTTCTTTGGAATTTCTATTCAGGCATTCGGGCAAAAAATCCAATTTTTGTGTTTTTGTTTTTGTTTTTGTTTTTTTGTTTTTTTTGCCCAAAAGTCCAGGCACCAATTTATCATGTTCATAAGGATAAGTTATTACAAAATAACCAAAATACCCCTCCACCACCTACCCTTCTCACTCACTTCTATTTCTCAAGCCCTTTTATTTCTCAAACCTCTCTCTCTCTCTCTCTCCTTCCTTCCATCTCTAGGGTTTCCAAAATGTTCATACTCGCCAAGCTCCGTTGTAAGGTGGGGGCAATCTGGTCACCGACATCGAAAATTCAATCTTTGCTGATTTATTGAGGGAAATGAAGGCGGTGGTGCAATAGGTCTACGATTCTTCCTTTCTTTGCACTCTATTGTCCCCACACACCACCACTGACCACTAGTATCAGCTCTTTCTCTCTCTCCCTCATAATACTTACATATATAGTCGAGGCTTGTACAATTGTCACCCTCACTACTGTCATCTTCCCACCCCCATCATTCTCATTCGGATAACGCAACTCCAACCCTGACTTCATATGGATCCTAGTCTTGGGTTTCTTAAGTAGGACGAGTTCAGGTCAGATCTATTGGAAGAGCCACTGTACTATCTCTCTATTGTACCGAAGTCCCAATTCACATGTCAAGTGAAACATACAGGTTGCACAGGTCGTCGGTATCCTCAACCGTCGGTCATATCCCTCTACCTTTAGGTAACGGTCCACAGATCTTCACAATTTGTGGAGTGGCTATCGTGTGTGGTCATGATCTTCTTTGGGTTGGACCTTTATTCGGTTTGATGGATCTCTAGAGTTCTTGTGGTGTGATTCTATATGTTCAACAAGTAGAGAGACAGGGTTCAAAGAGAGAGAGAGGCACAAGTGTTTAGGGTAAAAAAATTTGAACAAATAATACAATTTGAAAAGATAATAAAATATGTTCAAAACAGATAAAAAATAAATAAATGAATAAAAAAATTGAACAAATAATAAAGTTTAGACAACCAAAAATAAAATTTGAACAGATAAGGGAAAAAAATTAAACAGATAGGGTAACAAAATTGAACAGATAGTGAAAATTTTTGAACAGATAGGAAAAAAATTTAAACAGATAATCAACAAAAGTCAACAAAAAAATTAAGAGATAAAATTAAAAACAAAATGATGTTCAAAACAAATAAAAGACTTCTCACCAAATTATTTTACAAATGGTGAATATCTCACTAACAAAAAATATCCACTAGACCTAATACCTTTAACAATTACTAAAGTTGTTTATCAACTTTTTCTTTCTTCAATGCTAGCCCAATTAATAAACATTTTCAAAATTTTCGCAATGCTTCTCCAAAAACAATTTCTTTCAACAAGGGATGATTTGTACCCATAGGCCATGTTTGATTCACAATACTAATAGTAAGGTATTAATAATCCTATCAAATTAGTGTGGTATTAACTATCCCACCCCTACCCCATTACTAATTATCCTACAAATTTGTTGGATTAATTATCCATTGGATTAATAGTCCTAAACCAAATGTCAAAACAAACATAGGATGGTTGGGCCCACGGATTAATAATCCTAATCCCATACTTTAATCCTTCCAATCAAACATGCCCATATAGACTTAATTCTCCCATCAAATAAGGCTCGAACAGATAGTATTCCCCATTAAAATGTACTTCGTTTATCAAATTTGACACTAGTTTTCGTGAAACTAAAAGAGAGTAATTGAATTCTCCCTATAACTAAAAGGTAAAATCTAACTAGGGTTCGTGGTAGTGGTGTAGCTAGATCAGAAAAAAAGAGAAATTCTAGTGGTAAGATATCTAATGAAACCATCAGAGTTAAGAGTTAGCTATACAACAAATGATGGTTAATATATTCATCAGCTATACTAAGACAGCACTAACCTAAATTAATAAATCAAAGCTTCGCAAGACTACATATGTGATTTTTCAAGAATAATGCACCCTCAGATACTTATTAGAGCATCAGTTGTTTCGGGGCCCTTCAGTGCTACTACTCGAAGAGTACTCTACTTGCGTTCGCAATGTACTGCTATCATTGATTTCGTTTGATTCTGGTAGCTGTTCCTCTGTATTCCCTGTTTCGAGGTGCTCCATCAAATCTCTAAGCTGTGAGAAAGATTCATCAGTGGTTTAAAATTGTATGTTCACAATGAAAATAGTGGGAGGATGAAGCTTGTGTGATTCGACCAAATACCTGTTCCTCCAGTTGTCGTATTTTATTATCCTTCAGCCTTAAAGCCTTCTTCTCCCTGAAATAATATAACATTAGAGGGAAAAAACGAGTGATTTTTCAATGTACTGAAGCAACTAGAATAAATAGTTATTAACATCAATTTGTCAAATAAGATTAGCAACTCATCTTTGGTTTCATGAAGTGATTACTTTTTGGAATTTACACATAATAAAGATGGTGATAACGCTCGATACATCTATAATCACGATAATACAATGAATAATAAACCAGAGGAAGCCATTTTTTTCTGTTCCTGCCTAAGATAAACAAGGGGAGGTTCCATATCTTCAATAGAAGAAAAAAAAAGAGGGGTAAATAAAAATATAGTTAGCCAAAATGGAAGGGAATATGGTGGAACAGCTAACCTTTTGTTTTCATATGTCTTACCAATCAAGAATGAGAAGTTTATTTTGTGGGGGAGAACCATCAGGTTATTAAATTGAGTTTCTTGCTAATGTATGTACAGCTCAAGTCCTGACAAACGAATTCATGGATAAATAATAGTATTTACCGCTACGAGGCACCAACACTTCAAAACTAGTGTTGTAGGGCAGTCGGACACGGGGACACAACAGGAACACATATGGGACACGCCACATGGAATGTCCCTTTATTTAATTAATTTTTTTTCAGGGGACACGCTGAGGACACGTTGACTAATTTTTTACTTATTTTTCTTTAGTACTTTTGATGGATGTTATTAGATGTTGAATGTTTATTAATTTTTTCTTAGATTTAAATACTTCATAGATCATCTATTAAAAAAATATATAAATGGTAAGTGCTAATTTGAATTTTTTTTTTTAAATATCAAATTAGCGTTAGTTATTGTTAATTTTGATTGTTTGTGGATGTAATATTGATCTACATAGAAAATAAAAATATATGAACAAATTTATTTTATTATCGTGTCCCCACCATGTCCTTGTCTGTGTCTGTGTCCGTGTCTCCATTTTTTTGAAATCACCTTGTCCTGTGTCTATGTCCATATCCATATCCATATCCATGCTTCTTAGGTTTACCAATAAAATGAGATGGTGAATTTTCTAGAGATGTTTAACACTGAATTATCAAGGGAATGTAGTTGACACTACTATGAAAATATTAGGAATGAGGTGGAGGAACATAGGAGTTTAGGAAAAGAGGGGATTGTCTTTAAGATAGATTTTGAGAAAGTTTATGATCACGTGGATTGGTAACTTCTGGATTTTGCAATGGAAAGGAAAGGTTATGGTGAGAGATGGAGATCATGGATTATAGGGTGTTTGGCGACTTGTAACATGTCAATGATAGTCAATGGTCAGTCAGGGGAGCGCTTTAAGGATTCACAGGGACTCACGCAGGGGAATTCTTTATCTCCGTTCTTTTTATTTTGGTGGCAGATGTGTTACGTAGGATGGTGGACAGGGCTGCAGAGGCAAGCTTGTTCGGAGGTTCACATGTGGGTAGAAGTATGCACATTTACAGTTTGCGGATGACACTATCTTCTTTTCCTCGGGGGATGAAAGTCAAATGGTTAATCTTTTTTTGGTTTTAAAATTGTTTGGGATAATTTTGGGTCTCAAGATTAATCTGAAAAAGAGTATTATAGTTGGTATTAATGTAGAAAGTGATAATCTCCAAAGAGTGGTTGCGCTTCTAGGATGCGGTGTTGAGACCAAGGTTGTCAAGATCATGATCCAGATCGTAGGATCGTACGATCCTATGATCTAATATACACCATTCGATCCGACTCGTGCTTTGGATCGACCCCAGATCAGAATCGTGAAAGGATCGTTGGGATCATATCTGGATTGCGACTCCATGCGATCCAGATTTGAAGGATCTTTTGGCAACTTAAAAGCAAAGATTGCAGAGAAGCAAAGAAGTTGAGTTGCGATTAGGGCAATACAAATTGGGGTCGTTGGTATCTTTGGTATCTTCTTCATTTCTTCTTCTTCTTTGTTACTACTCTTCTTCTTCGCTGCTCTTCTTTTTCTATTTCTTTGCTGCTCTTCCTCCTTTCTCTTTGCTGTTGTTCTTCAATCTTCTCTATGATTCGAATCTTGTCTTCTTTTTCTTTCTTCGCTACTCTTCTTCCTTTCTCTTCTCTGCTCTGCTTCCTTTCTCTTCGCTGCTCTCATTTTTTTTACTTCGTTGCCCTGCTTTCTTTCTCTTCTTTCTTTCTGTTTCAGAATATATTATATATACAAAATCACCTTTTCTTTTTTCTTTTTTTGCTCTTATTTTTTTTTTTTGTTTCTATAAATTATATTATAAATATATATATATATATATTATATATTTTTAGTCTTTTATTTGTTCTTTATTTATTTAGTTTGTCTTGTTTTCATTAAGAAATAATGACAATGGTGTGCATGAGTTGGTATTTGCTTTTATTATGTTTTTGATTTTTTTTTTTGAAGAAAAATATTTAAATGCTGCCTTGAATTGCTATATTTATTTTTTGGGGGGCTCATTCTATATATATTTTGATAGTATTACTTAGTCATATAAGAATTATTGTATTTTTTTATCATTTTAGGAGGATCTTACGATCCTCGATCCGATCCTACGATCCGATCCGATAGACCAACCCCCAAAACAATCCTATGTAGGATCCCGATCTTAAAAACCTTGGTTGAGACACTCCCGATTTAATATTTGGGACTTTCATTGGAAGGTAATCCTAGAAATGAGTCATTTTGGGCTCTAGTTGTGGAAAAGATAGGGAAGTGGTTGGAAGGGTGGAGTAGGGCTTTACTTCTCGAGGGGGTAGGTTCACTTTAGTTAAGATAGTTCTAAGTGGTATTCCAGTTCACTTTTTGTCACTGTATAAGATTCCAGTTAAGGCGGCAATATCTTTAGAAAAATTGACGAGGGACTTTCTTTGGGAGGGAAAGGATGAGAGCAAAAATGATCATTTACGCTGTGTTTGGTTGGGGGATTTGAGGAGGGATTTGGAAAGGGAAATGGAAAAGTTAGGTGAAATGTGAATAAAATATACCTACATTTCACCTAGTTTCACACACATTTTCCCTTTCCCTTTCAAAATCCCTCTCCAAATCCCCCAACCAAACATAGCATTAGTGAATGGGAAACAGTTTCCTTTCCTAAGGAAAAGGGGGGTTTGGCCATAGGTAATATAATGGCCAGGAACACAGCTCTACTTGGCAAGTGGTTATGGAGATTTCCAAATGAGTGTAATTCAATATGGCATAAGGTTATCAGAAGCAAGTATGGGATTCATGTAAACGGTAGAGATTCGTAGGTGGTCACTAGGGGTAACGGTCGAGCTCCTTGGAAATCAATCTCTCGTATTCATCCAATCTAGTTCCATTTCATTTCTATGAGGGTGGATAATGGGAAAATTGCCAAATTCTGAGAGGATGTTTGGGTGGGTTCTTCTTCCTTTGCTGTGTTATTCCCACATTTGTGTAGAGTGTCTTAGTCTCATAATTGTTCTATTGCTTCCATGGCATGCTCGTCTTTGGCTCTAATTTCTTGAAATTTTAATTTTCCTAGAAATCTTAATGATAGGGAGGTTGGGGAATTGATGGATCTTTTGTAAAGGCTTGAACATATATCTTTGGTTCCAACTTAGGAGGACAAGTGGGTTTGGGCTGTTCATTCTTTGGACTCCTTTTTTTGTAAATCTTTTTTCGACAAACTCATTGATCAGTCACATATACCTTTGTTCCCTTTTAACAAGAAGATACGAAGGACTTGTGTCTTAAGGTAAAGATGTTCATGTGGATTTTGGTTCATGCAGGCACTTTAACAAATGATACAATTGCAAACAAGGAGGCCTTCCCGTTCTCTAAGTCCTCAATGGTGCATAATGTGTAGGAGGAACGATGAATCTTTAGATAATTTATTTTTGTTTTATCCAGTGGCAATGAGCTTGTGGCAAAGGTTGTTTTGTTTGGGGAATTTTATGTGGGTGGCTCCAAAAGAGAGTGCACAAATGACTTTAATTGATTTTCGAGTATTGAGCAGGTCGAAGGGGGCCAAGGTGCTTTGGCTTTGTGCTCTCTTTGCGATTTTCAAGGTCATTTGGTTGGAGAGAAATGGGCACGTCTTTGAAGAAGTATCTCGGGATGTTCATTTTTTATGGGATAAAGTTACCATTTTGGGTGTCAGGGAATCCTTTTTTCAAAGGAATTCCTCTATTTTTTATTGCACCAAATTGGGTGTCAATTTGTAATATGTTTTTTTTTTTAAGGTTTTGCCTCCTTTCGCTGTTTTGTCATTTTTCACTTGTACTCATTTTTAGAGGATGCCTTATCCTCCCTTCTTTTGGCTTTGTGCCTTAATAAAATCTTTGTTTGTTGCTGATCAAAAAATTACATTGCTTATTCATTGTTGTCAAACCACAAATGTAGGCCACAATGTATTCTGAAACACTATTTCTTCCCGTTTACTATTATGAAATATTAGAAGGTAGTAGATGAGCAAAAATTCTATCAACCTGTACAAGCTTTAGAACAGGGGACAAATGGAGAAAGGTGATACCTTGCTTCAATTTCCACCATCTTTGCTTTCCATATCGTCTGATTTTTCAAAAGATTCTCATTGATCTACGTGCAAATAGTGAAAAAATTATAATATTTCTTCTCATTAACAGAAACAACTAGCTAGCTCAATAATAACAAAGTAATCCACCTATGAAGCATCGATATAGATACAAGATAAGTACAACATGATATGGATACATTAATAGAACAAATTTTTAAAAAGATACAAATACATTAAGGATATGGCGGGGTGTGTGTGTGTGTGTGTGTGTGTACATATATCATGTATATATAAGTATATATAAATTAAAAAAGTAATTTTGTCAAAACATATTTGTCACAAACAATATCTTTAATTATTTACCAAATATTCTCAATTTCAATCTGACAACGTATTCACATGAAAAAGATTTAAGGCTATGTTATGTGATCATGAACTTGGACCAAATCTGAAATGCATTAATCTCACAAACTTTCCAAATTTTCTTCTCTAGGGAGTATGCAAAGTAATAGAAATTATTCAAGCATTTATTCTAACAATTATACTTTGATGATACACTACAAATATCACATCTTAATTTCAAGATAGATCAAATACTGTTAGTATCTGATACTCACTCAAAATTAGAGAAAATTAATTTCTAATTGTAGATTATACATTTATAAAGTATCTAACATGTCTCTGTGAGTATCCGAGGTGTATCAATATCCAATATTGGTATGATATGGATATTATGCCCTTTTAAGTATCCATGCGTCATAGAATTCCATAAAGCACCCAGGAAGAGGGTACGTCCCTACTTGTCAAGTAATCTAATAACTAAAAATGGGTACAAGATTCCAACTCAGACATGATCAGCAAAAGAAGATACCTCATCAAGAAATTTCTTTTCTTTCACACATTTATCCAGCTTGGATTGCATCTTCTGCAATTTCTGACTGCCACTGACAGCCTTCTCAACAGCTTCAGATATTTCTCTTTCAGTTTCTTCCTCAACTTCTCGTAGTAAAGACTCAAAATACTATGAGCAAAGCAGAGGCTATTAGATAGATAAGCAAACAAAAAGTACTACTCCTAAGTATGCAATTCTCCACCTATGAAGAAAAAAATATATAGACTAGCAAAAGCAAATATTAGAAAACTAATGTTAGGGACTGTTAAGATTTCTGAATGTTTTGGTATATTCAATTGTGTTAAATTTACAAAGGGTTCATCAACCTAAACCTATGACTGAAAAAGGAAATACAATCAATTAGAATATTTACACCACAATCTTTCCTAATTCCTAATATACAATATATTCTCACACTCTCACTCATACTCAAGGTGTTACAGCAGAAAACATTGAGAGTTTGCCAAGAAAAAACCGAGCAGTGGTGCGAGTCTTGAAAAAGTAATCAGCCAGTTGCAGAGTTGAAGTGACAAAAGGAAGCGAGATAGAGCCAGAATGCAGATACTGACGAACGAAGTGACAATCAATCTCAATATGCTTTGTCCATTCATGAAAGACAGTGTTATGGGCAATCTAAATAGCATTGCGGTTGTCACAATAGAGAAAGGTTGGAGAAGACTCAGGGATGCCCAAGTCAGATAAGCGACAACGAAGCCGGACAATTTCAGTAGTAGCATGAGCCATAGCACGGTACTCAGCTTCAACAATAGAACGGGCAACAATAGTTTGTTTCTTACTTTTCCAAGAAATAAAGGAATCGCCAAAAAACATACAGAAACCAAAAGTAGACTCTCGATTAGTAACATCACTAGCCCAATCAACAATAGGATAGGCCACCAAGTCTAAGGAAGAAGTAAAGGATAACAGCAAACCCTGAAAGATAGTACCACGAAGATAGCGAAGAATCCGAAGCAAAGCAGCCCAATGTGTAGAACAAGGAGCAGAAACAAACTAGCTAACCCCATAAACAGCATAGGCAAGATCAAGGCGAGTAACCGTCAGATAGTCCAAGCAATCCACAAGCTCTCGATATAAAATAGGACCCTCCAGAGAGACATCATCAGTAGTGTTGAGCTTTACATTAAGCTCAATAAGAGTATCAGAAATCTTATTGTCAGTAAGACCGGCACGGTGAATAACTTCATTGGTACACTTGGCCTAAAACAAAAAGTAGCCCTTAGGAGAAAAAGTGACCTCAATACCAAGAAAATATCACAATAGGCTCAAATCCTTCATTTCGAAGGTGCGGAAGAGATGCTACTTGACCTCAGAAATAGCAAAAAAGTTAGAACCAATAATAATCATATCATCCACATATAGTAATAAAACAACAAAACCAGTAGAGGTTTAGAGAGCAGAGTCATGGGCACAAGGATGAAACCCAAGCTCAATAGCAGCTGTCAGAAAGCGATCATACCAAGCACAAGGAAATTACTTCAAACCATACAGAGCATGCTGCATACGACAAACCTGTCTAGAAAAATAGTGAAGACCAGGGGGGATGCATGTAAACCTCCTTAGTGAGATGGCCATTAAAAAAAACATTCTTAACGTCCATCTGATAAAGAGACCAATGAAAAACAGCAACGACAGAGATCAAAGTACAAACAATAGTCATTTTTGCAACAAGGGCAAAGTTCTCGTCACAATAATCAATACCATACCTTTGTGAGAAACTTTTGGCAATCAGGCGAGCTTTATAACGCTCGAGAGAATCATCAAAATGAGTCTTGACTTTATAAACCCGTTTGCAACCAACCAGATTCTTGCCAGCAAGCAAAGAAACCATCTCCTAAGTATTAGTCTTCTGTAAGGTAGACAACTCATCCCCCATAGCTCGAATCTAATTGAGATCCTAACAGGCCTCTTTGTAAGGCTAGGGTTTTGAAAAAGAGTGACTAGTAGACAAAAAGGTATAGTATGAAGAAGAAAAACATGTTCTAGCACAATCAAGTTTGACTACCTGTTTACGGATGCGAAGGAGATACTTACGGTTAGCAAGATCAAAGTCATCAAAAGCAAGAGGATTAGCAATAGGGGTAGAGACAACTGGTGGAGGGAGAGCCTTGTGATGAGAATAGACTAACAACAGAGAATAAGAAGCAGGCAGGGGAGGAGGAGAAGAAGAGAGAACAGAAGCATGGAAGTCTATGAAGCACGGGTATTAGTACGAGTACTGGTACTGGTACTGGTATGATACGAGTACGTCGATACGGTAAAATCCAAAAAAAATAGGTATGGAAACAACTTGGGCTTGGTACACTTGTAAAAAAATATTTATTTTTAATTTAGAATAATGCAAAAATTAATTAAATGGTTTAATTTGTTAAGATCCAACCTATAATTAACATTTAATGCCAAAAGTAAAAGTATAAATCAAAATTAAATGTCAACATATTAAATAACTTACAAACCATAGTTTAATTTTAAAATCATGCTAAGTATTAGCATATTATATTAGCCGAAAGTGTTAGCATATTATATTAGCCGAAATGTCAACATATTAAATAACTTACAAACCATAGTTTAATTTTAAAATCATGCTAAGTATAAAACTAAAAATAAAAAAGAAGTCTAGTGAAAGGAGTTTTATCTCTGTAGTAGAAGAAAATATTGTTTCAACTAAAGTACAGTACGACTTGGGTATATACTAGGTACGTCTGGGTATGCCAAAAATTAAGAAGAAAAAATTTGGGTACGTGTTTCGTGTACCCGGTATGTATGCAAAAGTACCATATGAGGTACCATATACCGGTAAGTACCCAATACCGGTACGGCAAATTTTCGAAATACTCATGCTTCATAGATTGGAATCAATATGGAGGAAGTCATCAGGAGGGATGGTAGGAGAAGAGGGAACAAGCTCATGGAGAACAGTAGAGATGTACTCATTAGGAGGGACCTCAGAAGAAAATAGATCAATGGATCAATGTGAACCAAATCTTCTTTGGAAACCAAACCAGTGCTAGGAGGAAGCTAAAAGTGAAGCAGACGTTCGAGAAAAGAAACATGATGGGAGACATAAAGACAAGAAACAGGGCCGTAACACTGATAGTCGTTCTGAGTAAGACTATAACCCAAAAAGACACATAGGACACACCATACACTAAATTTAATCTAATCTTTACGGGAAAAATGGACAAAACAATCAGACCCAAACACACGAAGGAGAGAGTAATTGAGAAGTTGAGAGAACAGAGCTTCATAAGGAGACCGACCAGAAAGAAAAGGAATATGCATGCGATTGAGAAGAAAAGCAGCAGTAAGAATTGCTTCCCCCCCAAACGGAGCTAGAACAGAGGCAGAGAGAAGAAGAGACCTAGATATCTCAAAGAGATGACGGTATTTATACTCAGCTCGACTATTTTGAGCAGGTGTATCGATACAGGAAGTTTGGTGAATAGTACCTAAATTGGCCAAATATTTGCAGAACTTAATTTTAAAATATTCCCCACCCAAGTCAGACCATAACACTTTAATTGTAGACCCAAATTGAGTAATAATCATAGACTGAAATGTACAGTATATCTGATAGAAATCGGATTTATGAGTCATAAGATAAACCCAAATGTAACGAGTGCAGTCATAAACAAATGACAAAGTATGCAGAACTCCCTTTGGTGAGAACAAAAGAAGGGCCAAAACTGGATTTGAGACTGCTGAGAAGACGAGGTAGGCAAACGTCCCTTCTTGAGACAGTAGTACTTCCAATGTCCCCTTTGATGGCAAAAGCCACACTCATCAAAAGATAGAGTCATTGTAATAACCAGAAAGCTGAAGGGTTCAAGTGTAATAAACCCTAAATCCAAAACCACAACGTAATAACCAGAAGAGTGTTGGGTCTAAATGTAATATCAAAAAAATAATATCAAATGGGTCAAATACCAGAGAAGTCAAGACCCAACCTCAGAGAGAGACGACAAACCAAAACCAGCAAAACCCCAATAGAGACCACAGAGTGAGTCACGCAACCTGGTTCTTCGACTGAAATAGAGACCAACGATGAAGCTTCCTAGGGCTTCGAACAGCAACCAAGTATATGAGATCAGCAAAGCTCAATATGACCGAGCAAAACCACCAGCGAATGCAAAGCAAAATCCACCAGTGAAGGTGAAGCAAAAAGCCAGCAGCAACCAGCAAAAGAAAGAGAGGATGCGACCAGCGAAAAAGAGAGAGAAAGGGCTGCAACCATCGAAGGCTGTGATGACCTGTGAAATCACATAGAGAGGCTTTGCAATCTCAAAGAACCAAATAACAGAGTTTCCAGAGAACCAGCGTGAGACATTCCACATAACCAATAAAGACGACCCAGATGAAAGGAAGAAGATGGACCAGATGAGTCGACTTCAAATCAGCGAAAGAACCAAACGAAGCACACCCAAACTCAGATGGGTCGAATTCGAATCTTATGAACCAAATGATGAAAGGAATCAGAGAGCAAAACCAAAGAGAGATTCCTGTTGGCTGCTAGGGTTTCGAACCAAACTCTAATACCATGTAAAATTTCTGAATGTTTTGTATATTCAATTGTGTTAAATTTACAAAGGGTTCACCAGTTTATATAACTCTAAACCTCTTACTGAAAAAGGAAATACAATCAATTGGAATGTTTACACCACAATCTTTCCTAATTCCTAATATACAATATATACGCAATATATTCTCACACAATTGATGTCCTTAAGTTGGTGACATGAACTTAACAAGATTATAAGAATGAATGAATGAACTTACTATCTTTTGGTTCTCAAGTTGGGTAGTAAGAAGGTCATTGTACTCATTGACAATCTGCAGATAAGGATTAAAATGACCGTGTGGATTAGGTCATCTAATGGCACCAAAAAACTGAGAAAATCAAGTAAACGTGAAAGCGAACATTACATTTTCAACTTTACTGTTCAATAAAGCCTCACTAAATCCAGGATCTACAGTACAGTTGCAACTACCATCACCATCATCAGTATGTGCACAATAGTGATTCAACTCAACCAACTTCCCGTCAGTTTTAGATTGAATCAAACGGTGAACATAGTTGTCTCCAACATAATCCCACACACGTTGTGTTTCCAATTCAAGAGAGTAGCAGTGCTGTGTTTCTTTCCAATGTGTAATAGCATGCCCTTCTTTATACCTGAAGATGACAACAAGAAATTAGTCTTTCCATGCTGAGGAATAATAATCTCTTACTTGTCAAAAGAAAAATTAACTTATTACCTTCCACAACCAACAAAACCACAAATAACACAAATCCAGAGATTCTCAGAAGTTTGACAAACAAAACAGACTGATTTTTCAGGCTGCTGCTGGCAATATCGGCATACCTGCAATAACATATAAAGACCAAGTCAATTCCCAATTCCTTTTTCCACATAACCCACAGACAATGAAAAAAAATATTTCCAAATACATAACAGAAGGATTCATTTGCACACCATGATTAATATATACAAAATATTTCCTACCATACAATTTTTAAAATGGTTAGACAGTGTTAAATCTTGATGGGTTCTACTCTAAGGAAGCTTGGTTTACTAGCAAAACCTGGAAATATAAACACAAAACTTTCATTGACCAACCCAACTCATTCTCAGAGGAGAAGGACTATCTTTCCTAGACTAATTGACGCATATCTCAAACAACACATGATATGGACAGGTATGGCTATAGTCCAAGAATATTTTTCCTTTTTCCCTTTTTGAATAAGCAAAATACAACTATCGTCACAATCCAACAAATGATAATTAAACCATTATTTATATGAACCGGCACACAAAGTTAAACATGTTACTCAAATGATTTAGAATCTCAATTGGAAAGATGACTTGCTTAGTCTTCAGTCATAAGGGATGGGATATTTGGAGAAGCAACATGACTTAAATTACTAGATGAACTTCAGTTTTCATATTTAACGTCTTACATTACTTAGCCAACAGAAAAAGAGTAAAAGATGTCTCAAAAAAGAACAAGCAAAGGCCAGAACTCAATATGTAAGAAGATGCACCACCTTCATACTGTCACTTTTTCATACCGTCACTTTCAACCTAATTATATTTTAAAGGTAATGCACTTCTGAGCAAGATAACTGTAGGAAAAGAAGATATGTGCCCTAAAATACATAGCTTGTACATGTATGCATCAATGATGATAAGGTGGCAAGTTGGCAACTAGCAATTCATCATACACTAATTCTACAGAACAACCGTATAGATTACTTACCGGACAAGAAGAATCTGTCCATTTAGAAATACAAGAGCAGTGGAAAGAATGATTGCATATAGTTGTGAGAATTCCACTCATGTCTTGGTCCAGCCTCTCTGCAGCAAAGAAGAAAAATAAGAACAATCCAAACACACTATAAATTTAAAGATCAGCTTCCCATTTCAGAACTTCATGTGGCTTGAAACAGTCATAAATAAATCTATGTAGTTAAAGAAGGGAAAACAAATAAGCAGGATTTTAGATACCTTTATTAAAAGTTTGAGGTTAGGCTAAACAAGTGCACTATATAATTCCTTATTTCATATGCATGAATTACTAAATGTAAACCTATCAAAACTGTCCTGCTTACATGTAATGAGTTGAAAAAAAATATAAAATATGATTTTAGCCTTGAAAGAAGCCCAATGAGCATTCATTAAATTTGCAGATCATGTTACCAAGCTGTAAAATTTTCAAAAGAATGAAAGTTCCATCGTAGAACTGCAAGAAATGAATATTGATTTGTAAAATTGAGGATTAGAAACAGACCAAGACAGACTGGACATGTGGGCTGCTCTGTACAGCTTGCAAGGGAAGTCTGTGCATGTTCTATTGAACCGGTGTACTGCACATCAACTGTGAAAAGTACATGACAAGCCTCCACCTGTATTCAAGAGAAAACAAAATCTATACATGGATAATAAAGGAAGATGACAAACTTTTGGAGACAACAGCTTATTGTTAATGGAAAAAAAAAGACCACCAAGAGAAATCAAACCTCAAGAGAGGAAAAACGTTTCCCATGGAAATGCTTGTAGAAAGCATCGGTTGAGTTCTGATCATCAAACCTTATCAAGACACTATACTTATCCTCTACTCCATCATTCCTAGACCCCCATCAAAGAAATAAAACAATCACAACCAAATTCAAACAAATAAGCAAATAGCACCTAGTTTCATAGTAAAGACTTTTTTAAGTGTTTTAAATTGAACCTGACAATTCGCATTTCCAACATATGTTGAATGAATGAGCCACAAAACTGACAGAAATCTGCATATGTCATGTGATTTGGCACTCCTAGCACACAAACTAGAGTTTTCCTTCCAACCTTAATAACGTTAGAAAGAGAAACAGGCAATTAGTAAATTCTTCAACCTCGTGAACGTATATTCCAAGATTAGATTGGATTTGAGAACAAATAAGAAGCGGAAAATCCTAATGTAGTTAGTTTATAAACATTATTTTAAACATGAAGGTTTCATATTTTCAATAATTGTTCACACTTCCGCTCAAGTCATAACCAAAATAAACACTTTCGATTTGAACGCAATAAAGCTTAAAACGAGAACAGTAGGGTAGTGCTTACAAAAAGAGAGAGGGGGGGGATCCTAGTTAGTCATCCATCATGCATCAAATTTAGTCATCTATCATGCATCAAATTTAATTTTAAACTTTCACATGAATGATGACAAATAAAGGCAATTATCTTCACTTATTCACAGTGAAAATGTAGATATTCCACTATCCATTGTCTTCAAAAACAAAAATCTAACTGACAAAGTAAGAGCAACAAATTCTTTTCCAAAAAGATTTAATTTCCAACCAAATAGGAACAAATCCTACCGGTAAATATCCCAATTAAATCTTTTCATACAACTTCGAACTTTGAGGTTTCAAATTCCCATGTGAATTCCTAAGAAAGCTGAGGAATATGAAGCCAAATAAATTTTACACAAAAGAATCTTCATTAATCTTCAGCGAGTGAAAAAACTAATTTCTCCCAAGTAATACCAAAGTTTTCAATCACTTTTTTTCAGCAACCAGCATACCCAAGGAGGCCACATTTAAATACCCAAACTGTACCCAAAAAAAGGACCAAAAAAATCAGATCTTAAAGCATTTAATTTTGACCCGATAGAAACAAACCAGTAGCTAAATGTCCAAAACCAAGTGAGGCATCCACAGTTCTACATATGACATAAAATAAAAACATAGAAGGAAAAAAAAACGAACAAATAAAGATTAACCATGCAGGCAGGGGTCGAAAAAGTCTAGGGGGCAAGGTATGTACACAAAAAAAAAATTGAGTTAGTTTGGTACATGAAGAGAAGTATGTCATGAAGAGAAAAATAAATAAATCTAACAAGTGTTTTTTTTTTCTTTTTAAGTTTTGACCTATTAATTAGATCCCAAATTAGACCACTGCTTTAAGCATTTTATTGATTGATATAATCAAGTAAATAAAAAGCAAAAAATGCTTAAGGCCTCTAAAACATGTCAATTAAATTTATTCCTAATAACGTGGACACATCCATTGATTTATTTAGGAATCAATCAACTAAGATTCAACCCCTACATTACATTTATTTGGTACATGCTTTAGGAGTCTCTAGTATTAGTCATAAAAAAATATACATAAATTTTTAATTTTTTTTAAAAAAAATGGCAATACGATGAAATTGAATAGGACTATGCAAAATACCGCCCAACCTACACCGATCCATCCACTAACTGCAGGTTGATTTGATCCACGATTTGAAATTTATAATCCAAGTTTGAAACTGTCCCACCCCACCCCACCCCACCATAGTTACCAGTGAAATATCAAATATCAAAGTAAGAATTAATGTGAGAGAGATATGAGATATCGAATTTGGAGTAAATTAGTGTTAAATATATGAAAAAAATAATATGCAAATTAATTTTATATATTATGCAAATGCTTAATAATCGTTTAATCTTATTCTTCAATCAACTAATAGGTTAAAACCACTCAACCTGCGGTTTGGTTACGCATGGTTTGGTTTAATTTTATCCTCAAATTGGACCGAACCTACCCCTAAAATTGAATACTTGACATATTGGGAGATCATTGCATCATATATTGTGAAGTAATGATAAATTTTTACAGGCAGGAACAAACCCCAAACTAAAGCAACACGACAGTTAAGTAGCCAAATGAATCAAACTTAACAAGTACGCAAAACAATTTACAACTCTACACAAATCACAAACTAAAAATTGACCGATTCAGATTGGAACAACAACGAAGTAGAGACCAAACATACAGGTAGTTCAGAAGACGAAGATGCGAAGTCATCGCGGTAGAGGTGCATGACACCTCTGGTCTCTTCGATTCTAGGGTTTCCAGAAGAAAAATGGAAGGCCCGAGTGATACTGGAGGAGACGGAGGAGTCGCTGAGGTCGCCGGAAATCATGGCGGTCGGAAGCCGGAGTATGTCTTCCGGCGAGGCTCCGGCGACGGCACTGGCACTTGTTGACGTGGCCTCTGACATGAGTATTTTGAGAGAGAAGTTGTATGGTTTCGCGCTAGATGAATGAATCGGGGTTTTATGCAGTTGTAAATAGGGTCAACTATCATTTGAAAGTGTTTTTTAAAAAAAAACACTTTCTAAAAAATTTTAAACTCTGTTTGGTTGTGAACATATCTTGATTTAAGTATGATGTTTAGTAAGGGTTCTCAAATGATATTTTCAAAATTCTGCACAAAACACTTGCGATTTTCTGTTTTGACAGACGTGTTTTTCCTTTTTTTTAAAAAAAATTTTGCTTGGCGGGATGTCCGGTCGGTCATCTAGCCGGTTGGCCGGAATAATGAATTTTTTTTTTTTTTGGCAATTGATTTATATAATCGAAAAAAATATTTTCTGAAATTTTTAAAAATTTTTATGTGCTTTAAAATAATTTTAAGTTGTATATTTAGTTATGAGCTATAAATTTTTGTATCACATATCAAATGTCACATCAATAATTTTCCACTCAAATCAAAACTCTTTTCAAAATTATTTTCAAAACTCTTTACCAAACAAATTTTCTACACTCAAATCATAATTCCACAACACACAAACTCAAAATACAACTCATACTCTCAAATCACATTTACAAAATTCTACCAAACACTACCTTAATTTTTATATTTCACGTTTTTTTTTATTGAATTTTTTTAATATTTTAATTAATTTTTTAATTTTTAAACATACTTAATATAAATATACTTAAAAAATAAAAAAATTATGAAAAAAACCTTTTAAAAATTCACTAAACACCAAAAATACAAAAAAAAATGAGAATTCAATACATTATTTGTATCTTTATGTATTTATTAATTTTTTAAAATATTTTTCACAATTTTTTTACTCTTTAGATACATCTAAGGGGTTGTTTGGGGTGTCCTAAATAAGTGCACTTTTTAACTTTTTGGACTAAAAAGTTGAGGAAAAAACATAGTTATTTGGGATAACTTTTTTACTTTTTACGAAAAAATGTATATTAAAAAATTATATAAATTAGCGTATAGGAGAAGATTTGATAGAATAAACTGTACGATAGGATGAATTGAAGGACAACACCGATAGAGTACAGGGTGGGAAGATGATTTCCTACTTTTTGGGTATTGAATTGGAGGTGTTGTTCGGCTCGTGAGGGTTCACCACGGGTCCCGTTTTGCTAATCAAAACCGTTCGATGTGTAGAACTTGTCGAGTACTATATTATTATAAAAAATCACGTTGATCGGATATCGATAGGTATCTGATCAGATTAGTTTGTTTCCAATCGTTAATTATAACTATCCATTTTATAAATTTTAACTGATTTGATCATATAGTTACTGATATCTTATCAATGTAATTTTTTATAACATATAGTACTCGACGAGTTTTATACATTGAACGGTTCAGATTATTAAAAAGGGACCCGTGATGGGCCCCCACTGGCCGAACAGCACCGTGTTATTTGTATACGTAAATAAGTGCAATTTTTCCCAAAAGTCAGCTCCGCCTGCTCTGCAGTCAGAGTTGTTTGAAAATGAAGATTGTGTAAAATTAATTTTTTAATATTTTTTTGAGTGAATAGTGATAACTTTTTAATTTTTTGAATAACTTTTTGGCTTTTTGATTTTTTTTTTGGGTACCCAAACCAAGCCTAAGTAAGGTGCATCTAAAAAAGTAAAAAAAAATATTTAAAATTTAAAAAATATTCATTAAAAAAAAAAAAAAAAAACACGAAAACAAAAAAACTTAGGTCTCGTTTGGGAACAGGCTTTTTTAGTAACTTTTTGACTAAAATATGATATAAAAAAAATTAATATGTTTGGGATGACTTTTTAATTTTTTACGAAAAGATGTGCAAAAAGTAGAGAGAAAATGGAATCTTTGACTTTTTAGTATAGGTTGTTAGTTTTTTGGGTTTTTTTAGTGACTTTTGGCTTTTAGGCTAAAAAGCCAAAAAGTGATGTTGTCAAACGAGGCCTTAGTTTTCAAAAAATTTAATCCAAAAAACTCAAACACACACTGTATAGTACAGAAAAATAGTTTTCTTGTACTATACATAAAAGTGAAACGGCGTGGCTTCCTGACTTGCTTGTTAACCTGTATACTTTATGTGTATTGAATGTCAATCAGGTTATACATAGTCGGAGCATAAAATGGGCAAAAAGACAGAATTTGGAAAAAGTACAAATTCCTGCATGTGCGTTGACTTTTTCGTACGTGTGTTGACTTTTTTTTGGGAAAACGTGCCCAATGTTTTAAACCTATTTGGGAGACATCAGAAGTATAAATAGGCAAGAAAAATGCTGGATTAAGGTTCAGAAGTTGTTTTGGAAAAGAGAGAGAGGCTAGGGTTTGGGAAAAAAAAAGAACTTGAAGCTTTAAGCATGTCTCACATGGTGGCTTCATCTCCATCTACCTCCTTCCACTCCTCCATGAGTGGCTAGTCTCCTTTTCTAGGGTTTTGATGAAACCTTAACTATGTAATTAGTTTTTCTTTTTGATTTTCAATTATGTAAAGATTTGAACAATTGTATGGTGTTTTAGAAGTTTCATATATATTTTTTCCATTACTCCTTCAAATATTCGGCTTTCTGTGATTGTTGAATGTTTTCCATACAAGTATTTTCTATTCTTTCACATTCAAGGTATGAGACAAATCATACTGCGAGAGCCGAGTCATGTCGCTACCTTAATTTAGAGTGAACGATTCGTACTACTTGAGATGGTTCGTGTTCGTACATTAAACGTGATGATTTTCTTGATAAATACTTTGAACTTGTAATTGCAAAGCATTATTCCATTTGAACCATATCATAATTGTTTTCAATTTGAAACCCTATTTACGTAACTAATGGTGGACTCATTGCCTTAGGTTTTTCCCCAAATCAATAAATCCAATTTTATTTATAATTGTTAATTTAATTACTTAGTTTAATTTATTTGTTATTAAATTAGGTTATGAACAATCAATCTTTTCATCAAAATGAATTTAGGAATTTAACAATTAAATTAGTTTAATTTCACAATTGTCTCTGTGGATCGATACCTGGACTTGCCATTATTCTGATAGAATTTGGTATAGTTTTGTGTTTAATTTTGGTGTGTTCAACGACCCATCAAATTTTGGCACTGTTGCTGGGGACTTCTGGCAAAATTAATTAATTTAAAGTTATATTCTTATTTTAATTTTTAGTTTAGGATTTTATGCTTTCGTGTTGCTAAGTGTGTAGAGCGTTTGAAAGTGGAAACTATCACCGAAGTGCAAGCGGAGCGCAACCGAGCTTAATAAAAAAAAAAAACCGCAACACTAAAGTGCTTAAAAAAAAGCAAACACTTGCAAGCAAAGCACCAAAGTGCTAAAAAGAAGAAAAAAAAATGCTCAATTAGAGGTTGGAGACAACGTCTACATATCAAGCACCCGCAAGACGAGTAAAACGTTTTCGTTAAACCGCTGTGAGTATTTCTCCCTTTGGTATTTTGCTTTCGTAAGTTAGTGCACAGAGTCGGAATTTTTTTTGTGTGTGTGTGAGTAGTGTATGCACGGGCGCCGTTCTTGTCGCCCTGAATTGTGGAGTTTGGACCTTGAACAAGAAAGGACTCTTAGGAGATTTAGGGCCTCTGCCCGTGTTCCTAGACTTGAATATTCATATTCATACATTGAGCCATTAGAGATGGAAAACCAAAATGTCTTGAATGTGCCCAACCGGACCCTTAAAGATTATTTCACACCCACTGCATATACATCACCATCATGCATCCAATTACCCAACACCATTGCTGCTCATTATGAGATTAAGTCTAGCACCATACAAATGCTCCCATCATTCCATGGACTAGCTCATGATGATCCTTACAAACATTTGAATGAATTTCTGGAAATTTGCTCGATAGTGAGGATCCAGAATTTCACAAATGAGACCTTAATGTTGCGATTGTTTCCATTTTCATTAAAGAATAAAGCCAAACACTAGTTGAATTCCTTACCTGCTAATTCAATCACAACTTGGGAACAATTACAACAACGGTTCTTGGAGAAGTACTTTCCCATAGGTAAAACCAACCAACTTAGGCGAGCCATCACTAATTTTGCTCAAATTGATGGCAAGCAATTCCATGAGACGTGGGAAAGACTTCGAGACCTTCTACAACAGTGTCCCCACCACCAAGTGCTTGATTGGCAACTTATTCAAACATTTTATTATGGCTTAACTGAGCTGCACTGCCAACTGGTGGATTCATCCTGTAGTGGGACATTCATGTCCAAAAATGATGCCAAGGCATGTCAATTGTTTGAGAACCTAAGTGATAATTCCCTTCACCATGCCTCCGCAGCCCGGCAAGTCTGGCAACCAGTAGTTAGAGCCCCGAAAAGAGGGGGCATTTATGAGGTCAGACAAAACCTAGAGCTAGCCCAACAAGTAAAGGCACTGTCCCACAAAATGAACCAATTATTAGCTGCGGGACATACCCCTGCCCAGCAAGATCAGCCTCAATTTCATGAGGCATGTGTTATTTGTGCGAGCCCTGCTCATGACTTGAGTGAGTGCCCTTCGGCATCATAATTTCCAAAGTTAGTCCAAAAGTATGTGAATGTGGCTCAAGGATTCTCCAATCCGGGTAATGACCCATATTCAAATACCTACAACCCCAGATGGAGAAATCACCCCAAATTTTCATGGAGACCTCCTTCACAAGGCACTTCTTACAATCCTCCACCACCAAGGCAGAATTTTAATAATTTTGCCAACCAATCATCCTACCGACCACCGCAACCTTATCGACCCCCACAACCATACTGGTAACCACAACCCTCGCCTGTTTCTTAGGGCAACTCTACCTTTGAGACTCAAGTGTTGGAAGTTCTCTCAGAACTTAAGGAGTTAGCACCGGTAGTTCACTCCCATACGTACTCTATTGCCAGGCTAGAGACTCAATTGGGTCAAATGGCTAACAACATGAATCGGAGAGAGGAGGGAAAATTACCAAGTCAAACTGTGGCCAACCCTAAAGGACAATACGGGGCAAAGAGTTCGGGTGGGAATGGAAAGCACCATGAGCAGGTGCAAGCGGTGATTACTTTGAGAAATGGGA